GGCATGCTGTTTGAATTTCTCAACTGTTGCCCAACTATTGCAGCTGGACCATCCTGCCACAGTTGTGTTGTCTGTCATCCCTGACTGCCATCAGTGATAGCACTCACAGTGCAGTTTCTTCCTGTTTCAGATTCTTATCTTTGTATTGTATACTGATAACTCCTGTCTTCTTCACTTTTGCTGGTGGACTTAACTTTTATTAGTGAAGCATTCATTTTTTTTCCCAGCTACTGTCAGTCAATATCTGTGAAATTCCAGGCAATATGTAATTCCCTAGAAAAGTATTGATATCAAAAACATACAAGTTTTCTCCTGGTTGTCAGATAATGTACCTACTCTCTATGGCCTCCCTATTCCGATGAAAAGTATTTGATTTATAGATTTTGTAGTTTCAAACTCTTCTTCCATTCAGTGCACTTTAGAGAAAACTATACATCAACTAGGCTTCTTTTCACTACCACTCATGACTGAGAAGGCAAGATAGATCTTGATAAGTCATGAAAACAGGTCTTTCGCTCACCAGTATTATCCTTCATTAATCTAACCTTAGTTTTCATGGTTTACGTGATTTTTAATTTCCAACAAGCAGACATTATTGCATAGGACAAAATATTTTCACCGTCTTCTAAAATTATGCTGTAATGTGCCACAAAAGGAAATATTTAGAAAAAGAGAACTGATTGAATGAGAGCTTCACAATACAATGTAGAGTCTTTGTCCCAACAGGAACAAAGATGAACAGAGAAAGTGTATATGAAAGCAAGCTAGCAAAACATATCAGCTTTGAATCAAAATTTGTAATATGTCAGAAGTTGGTACCTGTGATCTACATAGTACCTAAGAGAGACATGGTTTCAAGATTACATTTGTGCTGTCAAGGCCCAAAGCCTGAACATGACACAGAAACTGGAAATGGTGGATGAAAGCTTTAAAAAGACCATCTTTCAGCTTGCTAGAATTCTGATTTTCTTGGGCAAGACTCACTTTCCATCTGTGATTGGATGAGGAAGAGAGATACATCTGAAACATATTAAAACCACGATAAAAGTGAATAAAATATTACCTTTAGAATGACAGAATGGAGTTTTAAATTATAAGATACTAAATTTACTTTTCACATCTTGAAAAGCTCTTCCAAATTTAAAATACATATTTCACCTCTGCCATAAGTTCTGCCATGCGTTCGATCACAATAGTTTCAGCCAAGACAAAATGTTTCAGAAATGAGGGACTCAATCCATAAAATTTCTGGTGCTGCTCGTACTTGACTTTTCCAAGTACCTTTTCAGGACTCTCTGCTTCTAATCATTTAAAGAGGTGCTCAGGTTTTCAAAGCACTTGGCTCCCAGTGAATTCTGGCTTTCCAAGCCGTGCATGCCAGGGCTATGTTAGCTGCAGCTGTGAACCACGTGCCCCTGAGAGGCGCTTGGTTCTCCGTACAGTTTGCTCTTTGTGAAGGTATCTGCAGATGCTCAGAGGTACCCACTGCTTTTGAAGTCTTAGATTAAATGTCCCATAATCAAAGGCAACAGATGTCATCTAGCTTTGCTCATCAGGTAAAGATTTTTCGCCTTCTTTGCACTGCGAGCACCTGTAACTCTGAATATAGATAATGTTTTTCTATTACATGCCTTTCTCTTTTTTGGCGAAAAGCTTGCAGACAGTTGTGTGTAGCTGTAGCCAGTAAGAACAGAAGGAGCTCTCTTGAAAGAGAGCTCCTTCAAAACTGCTTCTTTGTTTTTAAAATGGCCTTTGAGGAATCAGGGGTTATCTCCGGAAAAGAAGAGAGCAATAACTCTGGTAAAATCATTTGGAGGACACTAATAATGATCAGTCTTTATAATCTTTAATTTACTTGAAGCCACCAAATGGAGACTTCAGATAGAAATAGCAGCAGCACCACTCCAGCTCTGCAGGTCACTCAAGCACAGTCCTCAATTTAAACTAGCCAGGCTGCCTGTGTACGTACAGACAGACCAGTATTTCAGTGCTTTTCCCAGTGAGAAACTGATACCCCCAAAAACCCTAATCTAACCATTTTCTTCCTTCTCTTTCGCTCCCACTTTGTTCCATAGGTTTTCTGTCCCAGCTCGTCTATGACCGGCCAGTGACCGAGTGCATCCGGGCTGGACATTACGCAGCCAGCGTAATTATCAAGCGGTCAGGTTGCACCTTCCCAGAGAAACCTGACTTCCACTGATACTGGTGAATTGGAGGGATCAAGAGTAACATCTGTGTTGCCATGGGATTGCTGCCTAAATTTTTCCTCATTCCCTTTCCTCACCTTTCCGATACCTGCATCAACGCTTCTGTACTTCTGTTTGTTGTATCCTAAACAAAATATATATTTCTATGGTGTTTTCCATTTCATACATCTACAATGTCTCAGTAGTCTTAACTTTTGGAAACAGTGCTAAGTGAAGCTTATTATCTCATCCGTCAGGAAAAAATGTTCTATTTACACTGTTTACAAGGAAGTACCATTTAAATGACACTGCTGATTAACACCATTAAAATACTTCTGTTGAATTCTCTAGTTTGTATCCAGCTGTGGCCAAATCCCATTCAACTTACATGAAATCAACAGACCTGACTTTATTTGTCACTTAACATTATAAACCAGGAATTGTTCTTTCTATACAGTGGAGTCAGACCAGTGTAAAGAGCAGTGTAAATGTCCCAAGAATTTCCATATGTACTGGAGTGTACAAGATCTGGCCATCAGATCCAGCCCAGCTTCCATGAAGTACATCACTGTTTTGTCCTTAATTTAAGGACCTGATCCACAGTTGATATCATGCATTCAGTCGTCTTGCACTGATGGCAATAACTTTGGGTCTGGCCCTATGTGAGAGCAGGCTCTGGCCACTTTTATCTGTCAGTACATCTATAGGTCTATAAGTACAGTCACTTTTATCTGTCAGATGAGCTAGCAGATAGGTACTTTCAGTGATTTCAGGGCAGATGCATGAGTTGATGATGAACATAAACTTACAGATAGGTCCTATCTCCTCATGTGAGCTTCCTAGAGGCTGTATTAAGGTACACATAATGAAAATGAGGTACAGAAATATTTATGCAGGATATATTGACAGGATATGCCAAATGGAATCTCTGAAACGCACATTTTTAAACTTTTAATTTACTTTGGATAATTAAGCAATATGGTGGATTTTGTTTGTATTTACAGTATTCAAGGAGGTGATCTTACACTGCATTCATTACTTTGCTATGTAATTTGATACTGATAAATAAAAAATAATTGTCATACAGTAACTCCTGGTTTGGTATTAGTATGTGTCTGTCTTTTTTTCATGTATCCTACTGAAATGGGAACAAGAAATGGGTGCTTAACCTCCAGCACATGCTATATCTCAACATTTTATACATGACTTTCAGTGTCTAGGTTGGTGTTCATGGGTGATATCAGCAGTAAACAAGGGAGAGAACATCAGTTTGGTGCTTGTACCAAAGGAGAAATGAAAACTTAATGGCTGGGGTTCCTCAAAGAGTGTAAAGTCAGTGCAGGGTTCACACTTTACTGCCCAGCATGGAACAAGGGACACACAGAGACTGAATGTTGTTATTACAGTTTGTGTATTGCAAGGAACATGGGGAGAAATCAAGGCTGGGATCCCAGTTCCCTTGTTCGGCCCAGTATCCAATCTGACACAATGGACAACAGGCTCTGTCACTTCACAGTTCACCTTGTGGGATTTCTGCAGTACATCAACCAGCAACTTCTGAAAATCCTCGTGCATCCATGGAATGCCATCGTCACAAGCCCAGGGCACTGCCTGGTGAGTACTGCGTGTCCTTCAAGGACTCGGGCTCTCCTCTTTCTCTGCCTGAGAAAGGCTGTGTGTGCAGGCCTTGTCTGTCTGCAGATCTCCTGAACAGCTTTGTGCAAATCACACTTGTCTGGTTTCCTCATAGTGCTCTTCTCAGAAGAGCTTTAGACTTTACATTTCTCATATTCTAGTGTAGGAGAGGAAGAGAAATTAAATGTGAGAATGAAAACAGAACTGCAAAGAAAACTAAAAAAGTACAGTGTGCATGGTCTTCAGACTTTATGGGTTAATCGGAAGATTATTTTTTTACATCTCATGGTTAACTTTAATTATTTAACTTGATGTATCCATGTGATATATTTTAATCAAGAAAGGCCAAAGATGGATATGTTGCAGTCCTTGCTTTTAATGTATGGTCACATATGCCATGCCACACTTACTGCATGACTTCAGCTGTTAGTAAGGAAAGCCCCAATGATTTAGTGGTTAAATTTGCTGTTCCTGTTGCTCTGCACCCGTGACACTTTCCATTCCTTTTGAAACAACTTTGTCAGTGTCCTGGCCTGATAATTATGGCTCATTTAAAACAGAATATGAATATGTAAACATCGTTTACCATAACCAAGGAAAATACAGGACACCATAACTACCATAAAGGAAGGGAGGACATGTAAAGCAAAGTAGTCATAATATAGCAAAGGATTCTCTCTCTTTCTTTCTTTCTGTCTTTCTTTCTTTCTCTCTCTCTTTTTCTTTCTTTCTTTTTTTCTTTCTTTCTTTCTTTTTCTTTCTGTCTTTCTGTCTTGCCTTTTCCTTCCCTCCTTCCTTCAGCCATTCCTTAGTTTCAATTCAGGATGCAAGAGAGTCAAGTCAGAGGTTCTGTTCTGAGCTTTCCTACTGATGTGCTTGGTGAGCTTGTGCTCCTGACATTTGGCTCCGAGTGTCAGCTACAAAGCATAATTTGATGGCAGTGAGAGCAGCTGAGGAATAAACTGCTACCCAATTCATAGAAGGGCAATCAGAGTCTGATCTGCTCTGTTTAGCTATTCATTATTTCTCCAATATCTGTCAATGCATATTTTTGGATGATATATAGCTACTTAGAAATACATTGCCAAATCATGCTAAATAATTTCAGTTTGTGCTGTCAAATTGCCTGACAATTTCATTCTGGATTCTTTTCAGGATATGTGTTCCTTTCCTTCTTCTTACTGGTACAGGGGAGATTTATCTATATAAGGTATGATGGTATCACCCTTAATATTCTCTCTCAGAAATAGTCTTCCTCTGTCTACCATCTTATTCCACACAGAGGCATGTTAGAAAACTGGGCTTTCTGAAAAACATCACTGAAAGAGTTGTCTGCCAGTGACATGTGCCACTGTCTCAAATCCCAGATGGGATGACTGAAGTGACTCTGTCACTGAACTTGAGCCATTATTCAAACCCAGAGTTCTTACCTAGGTTACTATCAGGAAAACAAATATTGGAAATCCATTTCCCACTAGTCACTGGCCAAAGCATCTCTCATTTAGATAAAGCTTCCCTTTTGCTGGAAATAAAACTGTATCTCCTGTGCCCAGCATCATGCATTTTAGGCTTGTTTTAGTACCAAGGAAGTGGGTAGCAATGCTGCTGAGATTAACAGGCAAGGAAACAGGCCCAGTATTCAGAAAACTACATGCTAAATAGCTGAAAAGACCGAGGAGCTGGGAATCTGGAAATAAAGGTTGTGCTTCTGTTTCTGCAGGTGATCAACCATGTTCCTTTGTGCAAATCACTTTCCTCTCTCTCAAGGTCTTTCTGTAAAGATGATAAGCTCAATTAGATAGTGAACTTAGAAGTGAAGCTGGTAAGAATTCAAGTAGGGCACTAACAGCTACATTGCTGCCTGTGCTCATTGCTGGTCTTTTGATTATTTTAATTTTCTCTTTTGTATGTGAAGTAATGTAAAGCTATTTGTTTACCCTTGAAAAAATAGTGGTGGCTTTTACTGCTTGTGTGAGGGTTAAGGCTGGAGAGACAAAGGAGAGGAAAGGGAGGGTAAAAAGCTTTACTTATGTGACAGTGAAGTAAAATATGCTACATGAAAATGACAATAGAAATGCACAGTGTTTTAAGATGACAAGTCTGGGAACAATCTTTAATTTAAAGGGTCTTATCCGCAGTTTTCATAAAGAAATGTTAATTAAAAGTGTGATGACATGTTTGGGATTTAAAGGAAATCATTCTGCAAAGGATTTATAGCAATCACAGCTCCAGAGCATTAGGATTACAGATCCTTGTGCTGTTCCTTTTCAGTGATCATGTGATTGGCCTGCTGTTAAATATAGCTCCCATTTAGCGAATTGAGACAGGCATGGGAAAGGTAGGGAGAGTTTCCCTTTAACCAGCGGGATTTCAGAGGTGTTGGAGATTATACAATTCATTAGTTTTTACATAAGATCAAAGGGAAAGAGGAAGTCTTAATTTGGGCACCAACTGCTACTGTCTGAAAGTCTTGCAGATTAAATGAAGAAGAGAACATGTGCAGTGCTAACTGCTTGTGTTAGAGCATGAGGCTATTGTTTTATATCTCACTAACTCATTGTTCTCTTCCCAGAGATAATTCTCACACTTAAGACCTTCAGAGATAGTTATGTCTATTGTGAATAGTTCAGCAACCAACTGGCTCAGAGGTTATTGCCTAAGCATCTTTCCCTAGGTATAATCCCCTGCAAGGTTTTTTTCTGGGCAGTGTTATTAATCTAAAATGACTGCTAACTGACTCCTGTGTCAAACATTATTCATTATGTGCTTTAAATGCTTCCTGCAGAGGCCAAAATAAATTTTGCTTTTTAAAAAGCGGACCACAAGGAGTGCCTATGTAGGATATTTCCTAAAAGATTAGACTCAAAATGGCAGATGAGGGGAAAAAATGGTGCTCAAAACAAAGCTTCACAATTTAACCAGGGACATACGAAATGGACAAACCTCAATTGCCAAAACCTGCTTTTCATATAGAATTATCTCTAAGTTGTTCCTGGGAAAGAAAACATGCAGCCTTGCAGGGCAGGAAAAGTACTTTTATGAAGACATGAAATAAGTGACCTTATTAGAAAATGAAGACCAAATTAACATAATTCTTAAAAGCAGTAATTCTTTTGTGTCTTGGGTTTTTTTCAGGTGTCACTGGTGTTGGCATAAAGCACGAGGGGTTTTTTGTGTCAGTGGCACTGACAAGCCTTGCATGTGTAAATGACAGTATGGGGAGAGAGACAGACAGATAGATTTGAATAGCAATAAGGTGGGTTTTCTTCCAATGTGAAAAGAGCATGGGATTCATGTGTACTGAGATGAAGTATAGCCTTGCTGCACAGTGCAAATATTTAATGCTGTTCTAACTATCCCTTGGTTATTGGAGTGTGACAGTTAATAGCCGTCAGCTGCCAAATGCAGTGAACAGTTTGGTTCCCCAAAAAGAAAATGAAAAGTTAAAAAATGAAGCCAAGTCAGACTAGAAACCTGCAAATCATAAATGTGCTGTAGCTTAGCAGGCAGATCATCTCCGAACTTTAGAGCCATGTCAACCTGAGCTGCTTCTCAAGTGAGAGAAGGATGGAGTGCATCTGTCTTCAGGTCCTTGCTTTGCCAGGTACTTACAGGCAAGTTTTGGCTGGGCTTGCTGCCTCCCAAGGCCCTGGTAGTCTCAAGTGACATTTGTAAAGGAGATTGAGTAAGGGCTGGAATGAGGAAAAGCAAAGCATTATCATTATTCTGGATCAAATATCTCAAATCAGTGGTGCAGCATAAATGCACAGAAAAATGGAAGAGCTCTTAAACTGAGAGAAATTGTGTGCTTGGAAAGCCTCCCTGTCTGTGGTGCCATGGAGATGGTAACATTGGAGTAAAATATTGCCCTAAAAGAAGCATTACTGTGGAATAATAACAGAATATGAGAGAATATTTCAAGAAATAGGTTCAGCTTGAAAATCACCTCTCATTCTACTTATTTTTCTTATTCATGCCAGAAGTAACACTTCACCGTACTTAAAAATTGCTCTACTTGGAACATACCTATTTTTTGGGTCCCTGGGAATAGTCACATTCCCTCTTCCACTATATGTTTGCTGGCTGTTCTTCTGTGATGGTAAGTACCAAACATAAGTGATTCAAAGGCCATGCTGCCCTCGCTACAGAGAGGACAAGGTAGAACAGGGAGCTGAACAACAACTCCCAAAAATCTCTGCCCACACCTCTGCTGGCTCTAGAGAGAAGTAGGATGGGATCTACCTACTCTAAGACTGCTGGCCATCTAAAGCAGGAGCAGGGGGTGGGACTGCTCTTCCTTGGCCTTTTCCCTTTGTTGGTATTAAAGGTTTCACAGAAAGGCAGGAGGAGGGAAAAGAAATAACAAACAGATAAACAAAGCAGCAAAATCTAAACCCATCAGTAAAATTACTCACATTTAAATTTCTTTGATCTCAGTTTCTTAAAATTGTTTCAGATTTCAGGTTTATGATGATTCTTCTAATCTCTCCTAATCATATTAATACTTGAGGTAGATATTGTGCAAAACCACATTGCTCGTCTGCAGATCCTACATACCTTTTGTTTCCTTAGGATTTATCTCCTGAAGTATTTCCCTGCAAACACACCTGCCCCAGTTAGCTTTATAAAAAGAGTAGATTTGAGGTTTTTTAAGGGGTGAGGCAGTTACCAATCACAGTAGATTTACCCAAAATTAAATTGTTGTCATATCTGTGGATCAGTGAATTGTAAATTAAATGATCGATCCAACTTTGGGCTTCATTTTCAGAGATATCACTTATTGGTGGGACTATTAATGGCACTCAAGTAACTTTCAGAATTTCCAGGGTTCTTCTGTCAACCTGTCACATGGACAGACCTATTTTAGTCTGGCCTGTCCTAAAGCATAGCCAGCTGCTGTGGCTGTCTTGCAGGGTAAGGACAAAGCGCTTTCCTGTTTGTCTCCCAAGGTCAGTACAATAACAAACACATTTTATGTCTGATAGTAAAAAGCATTTATCAGTGCAACTTTTGCATTCCGTAAATGGTGACAGATTTCACAAGATGAACACTCTGGATTTAGAGAAGGCTGTGCTCCAAATACATGGTGTTTTGTATGTATCCTGAATACATACATGATATATTTAATTGCCTAAAATTAGCACTAAAGCGACCTTTTGAGACTTGATGTTTATTATGCACCACAGTGTTTCAGGACAAAGCAAAAAACAAGATTTTAGCATATAACCCAGCAAATTCAGCTTGGAAAGGAAGAAATTAATTTGGAATGACTTGTCATAGTGTGTTTACTATAGAAATTTATGCCAGCTCAGAAGTTAGCCCTTCTACCCCCCAGCAGCAGCAGCAGCTAAATTGGGCCATGGGAGTCTCACAGAGTAGGGAGGATATTTGAGTTTCCCTGAGGCTCAGAGTTCTGCCCTGAAGAAAGCCTCACATATTGTTGTCTCAAAGAAAAAAGATAATTGTAGTGTGCTTGGGTATTAACTGGCACAGTATCAGGTCCAGCTTTGCAGTTAGTGTTGACATGCAGAAGTACTGTGTCATCCTGTGCATGACATATCCGCTCACCTCTGCCTGACACAGTGTTTGCTTGTCCCTCTTCATCCTGCCTACAAAGTCACAAGTAGTGTGTTTTATTTATCCTAGACTTGGAACTTTTTCCTAATGACCTCATTTTTCTAAAAGAGATAAAGATGGGGCAGCGTGGGGGACATCTCCCCTGTATCATAGTTCATACCTTCTGAGAAAATCAACTTCCCTGAAGACTCACTCACTCTTTGATGAACTGAGGATGGAAGAATTACTCTGTGCTAAAAAGGCCGGTGAGATTTCTAACAATCCATTGTTGCTTATGCCTCTTCCTATATTTCACACAGTAGTGAGAAATCAACTCTGTTATACCAGCAGGGAGCCCTAGGACTGGCCTCTTTTCTTTAATTGGCTTTAATTCTTGCTCTTTAATTTCCCTTGGATATACCCTGCCCTTTTACTTGCCCATGCTGATGCTGTGGTATCAAATGGGAGCAGAGCACAGGACATTGGACATTGCAGCCCCAATGGCAGCTGAGTTGTACAGCTGTTGGCTACTGCATAGAGCAGCAATGGGCTTGGTTTACTTCCCCTCCAAACACCACTGGCAAAAAGAAAACAGACAGAAAAGCCTGTTGCACAGGCCTCTTGCCTCTCAGTTCTGCTCATTTCATGATTCTTTTTAGCTGTTCCTTACCTTCCAAATCTTAGCTGTGAATACTCATCTTTAAAAGTAAAGCATGGTGGAAGGGGCCTCCATACAGGACTCCCTCCAGCTACCACTCCTGCTGAATAAAAAAGGTTGCAAAAGCAAGGATTTGAATGAAGGACAAACGTCACATATGCTGTGTGCTATGGAGGACAAATGCTGCATACAAAATATGTTTAATTGCTGAGTTAATTATCCTACTAAAGTCTAAATGTTGGGTTTTGGCACTCCCCCCCTCCTTTAGTTGTTTACTTTTATCAGTTAGAAAATAAAAAATCAATGTCATGAAAAACATAATTATATTCCTACTAATCTGGAGTATTTTCTCATTTGAGTACTGCAGTCTGATGCATTTTATCACTTTCCATCATATTATAGCAGTGGAAATTGCCGGCTAAAAGCTATGGCTTTAGAGCAAAAAGGGGGAAGAAGCAAACCCACCCCAAAGCCATGTGCCTTGCCAATCAAATCTTATTCCTAATGACAAAGCTTCTGCGATTTCCTTCTTGACAATACATGAATAGCTAGTGAATAATTGGTTCAACAGGAGCTTCATCAAAGTCCAAGAGAGAAAGCAGGATATTTCATGTGAATAATTTGGAATGACTGGTAAAGATGAGGCATTATTATAGGATTGCCTTCTGCTCCACAGTCAGAAATATGCAGCCTCTTCCTCGTTGAAGTATGAAAACATTTTGTAAATAGTTCTAGCTACTCCCAAGTGGTGGATGATCTTGCTACTTAGTGAAATGACTTTTTGGTTGTTACTGTTTGTGGATTAAATGCACTCATTCTTTACACAAATGGAAAGTAAGTGAGCTTTGTCCGGGGAGCCCAGCTGTGGACACATCCTCCCACTCCCAGCTCAAACAGGTTTTGGTTTAAGCTTCGAGTGCTTCTCCTCCACCACTGCAGTGCAAAGGGCAGTGACACTGACCCACAGAAACACAGACCTGCAACTCCCTGCCCTGCTCACCCCACCACCCTGCAGCACCCCGTGCCACCCGCTCTGGGCTGGAGAGCCTGTACAAGGGAGGTGCATCAGGCCGTCCCCAGCGGCTCTGCCACTGCCACGTCCTCAATGGCTCTGCCACCACGTTCTTCCTGGTGGGAAAAAACAATATGGAAAGCTCAGCCTGGTCAGCAGAGTGAGTGTTGCCCATGAGAGTGGCCTGTGGTCATTTACAAGAACAAAGGAGTCCACACATGGAACACACCTCAATGTGAACAGCTCCATCCTCCCAGCGCTCTTCCCCCGACTGCCACATAGCAGGGCAGCACAGCACAGCAGGGTCCTGCCAGCAAACCACACAGATACTTGCACCACCCTCCCGTCAGCAAAAGGCAAAAGGAGCAGAGATGAGCTTGAGATTTCAGGGAATGACCAAGCCATGGGACTGGGAGCTGACACCCTATAAACACCAGCCTTTTTTTTTAATTGCACATGTGGGCTCCCTCCATGATAAGAGCCCAGTCCTGCCAGCCCCAGTATTTCTGACTACAGGCAATTAACCTAGTGGCCTTGCTTTGGATTTCATATGCCCCTAGGTTTGCCATATGGCATCCTAAACTCTACATATACCTCAGATTTTAACAAACCCCCATTTTTTAAAGGAAGGACCAGTTAATTTCTTTACCCTGCAATAATGCTTCACCTCAGTGAAAAATCATGCAGTGATTCTGGCAGCCTCTAAACTAAGTTGCCTGACTCCAGCCATGTTGGATGGATGTGAGCTCAAGATGGGAAACTCAGCAGTAGGGCAGCCATCTCTTAGTCTGTACCCCTGAGGACAATGAATCCTTCTCCAGTACATCATCCCAAGGCATCACCTGTGAAGCTTTAAAACAGTCAGTGAAAGCATTAAAATATCACTTTAAAGATAACCTCATAAGGTCATTCAGTCTTGAGGCAGTGCTTTGCTAGTGACACACAGTGTTGGGGTGTAGGAATTCAGAGCTTCTTACTGTCTGTTGAGTCTTTTTTAAGTTGAGTTGAAGAGAGCCTTGAGACATACCAGTAAGATTCTAAGTGCCCCCAAGAAAACAAACCCACATCCCAGCTGGACCCTTTCCTAAAAGGTTCATCAGTCTGTGCCACAGTAGGACCATGGTGTAAAGGCAGGTCTTGAGGAGAGCATATTGGATGAGCATCTGGTGAGAATGTCCTTATATGTGCCAGTGGACATACATGCCCTCCTGCTCTGGCCTCTGCCTGTTTTGAGAGGAGCCAAAAATCAGGGAATTGATTTTTCACCCACTATAGCACAGCACAGTTATGCTAATGTACAGAAACATACGCTACCTGCCAGGATCTGGTTAATTCCTGCCAAATTCATGACTGTAATAAATAACAACAGCAATGTTGAACATGATCCTACTCCTCTAGGCAGTGAATAAAACAGCCTTCCCAAATCAGAGGCTGTGGCCCAATGTCAAGTGGTTGCAACTCAGCCAACTCAGAGCAGCTGAGGAGGCTACATACACCAGAGGAGATTCACTGCAGGGTAACTTGCAGAGGGAGAAACAAGTTTCATTTGCTGTGAGTGCTCATTTGCATGGAGAACAGTTAATCTGACCTGCCCATTTACATGCTAAGGCTCCTCACCCCATGTGTGCTTCAAATGTGGAGCACCACACTACCACTGCAGGACTGAGACTCTCCAGAGGGCCTTGAGCCTTGCAGACCATACTCTGCAGTTTCTGAGTTTACAGACAATGCCCATGTTCATTTTCATATGCTTGTCTACTTTTTAAAACACTTACCCCATCTCTTTCTCTTTTCGCAGGTCTTCACGTGGCTGGTCAGCCAAGTGTGTATTGCTGGCATTAAATGGCCCTGTCTGAGAGATGAGAACTAATAGCATCGGGGTTGGTATGTGAAAAACATCAACAAATTCAGGACATGCAGCAACAGTGAGCGGGATTTCTGTGAACAGTTTGGCCATTCATTAACAAAAAGAAAATATTTGTCATCACTTTTCCCCAGAATGTTTTTACAATGGCAGCTGCTACCTGAGCTGGTATTTGGGTTGCTGAGCAAGTGAGCAGCGTCCTAAGGAAATAAACACACAGGCAGGTGTGCAGCCATGCTCATTTACTGCTTTTTGAGGGCAGAAGAAGGGTGATGTAATTAGCAGACACATGTTTAAATTTTTAATTAAGAGTTTTAATGGATTATTCACTGCCTACCAGAACACACATGCTTTTACTTTCTCACTGTTTCAGGCTGGGTTCCTAAGGAAACCAGGCTTAGTCAGTCATGCTGCTTGCCTGCCAGCCAGCCTTCCTTCCTAATCAGTGTTGAACTCTTTAGGGTTCATGGCAGGCGAACACCACTTTTGTGGTAAAATCATGACTGCATCACAACACAGTGGTAGGGAAAGGTCTAAGCAGCTGCTGCAGGAGTTTAGCAGTAGGCACAAATAGACTTCTTCGAGGAACAGTGCCAAGTCTCCAGCAAAATCAGCTGGAGCAGAGGGGGGAAGGTATGAGAGAAAAGAAGGGGCAGAAGAAAAGAGGATCCTGATATGTTGACCACAGCTTCCCCAGACTCCCTCTGACTTATTTATTGTTCAAAACAGATTTTTTAATATTTTTTTAGTCTCATGCCACTTGCTGGTGCAGTGATACTCTTCATGGTGCCTGTGTGATACAAGTTGTAACATTGGTCCAAAGGGCACATAACTGAAAGATCCACTGGACTCCAAGAGTTGCAAGTGCACAGAAGTTATTTTCTTCTGCTTGTGAGTTCATGGTATTTATTTCCAGGATGTCTCTATACTTTGGGTATAGAAAGGCTGGAGGACTAAGAACAAGATTTTCCCAAGTTTCCAGCCCTGAAAGAATGGAAACAATGCAAGACTCTTAATGTTGCTCCTTCCATGGTTCAATAACGTAAGTGATGGGTTTGATTCCTGGATGAATCCACCATTTCTGCTCTTCTGTGAAGGAAGATGGGTTAATGTTTTTGCTGAGATCATGAGTCTTTAAAAGCCATGGAGATTTTGAGAGGAACAGCCTGTCAGGGAGCAGCAAGAGCTGGCTCTCTGCAAGGGAAGGTGAGCTGGAAGCTGAGCACACTAACACAGCTGGCAGAGCAGGAGTCTCACCAGTCCCACAGCCTCCAAGTGAGCCAAGCAAGGCAGGTCCAGGGAGGGCAACAAGGATCAGGCACAGCCCAGTGAACACCAGGCAGGTCCGTGGTGATAAGACAGGTCTGGGATCAGGCTGGAAGGCAGCAGCAGGGCAGGGTCTAGGTTTGGAGCAAAGGGCCCAGAGCCAGGGACAGGCATGGCTGCAACTCAGCAAGAGCTTTAGCTCAGGTGGGGCCCAATGGAAGGAGCTTAGCTTAAAAGCAGGTCCCACAGGAAGTGGTATCAGGAAGCAAAGGAGCTGGGGCAGCTCTCAACTCCACTGGCTCCAGGCTGGCCCTGAGCCCAGACAGTCAAACAGCCAGGAGGGGACTCTCAAGGCCCTTAGACAGGGCTCTCATCTCTCTGTGTTTGCCCTTGCTGAAGCATGGAATAAGTCAGAAAGTTGCTATGTGATGTGGAATGGTCCCTGATGGCTTTAAAACCCTTAATCTTCCCTTTTGGATTTAGGCTTGCCAAATATAACTGCTGCTTGTTGCCTGGTGGTCCAGTAAATGGTTTTTCCAAACCTATGGTGTCTGAGGAAATCATGAAGCTATTCAGAACCTGCTGGTGAACGTTCTGGTGGACATGGGACAGAAAGGACCCTGTCCTTAAGCACAATGTGAGATGGATGACCACCATGGAAGTCCAAGGTGTGGAGTCATAAATACTAAAGCACAGAAGCTGAGCAGCTAGAAATGAAGCACATTGTTACAGCCAAACAAGAATAAAAACTAAAACAAGAAATAAAACAAAAACAAACAAACAAATAACACAAAAAACCAAACCAAAACAAAAAACCACACCAAATCAAAAACCCCAAACACCAAGCTCTTTCTGTACATGCAACATTTAAGTGGAAAAGTGATTTCACTTCACCCATGCAGCCCCTGTGCTCTCAGGGCTATACAAACTCACCTTGCATCTGGACTGGGGTCTTACCTGGGATCTGAGGTCTCAGCCAGTCCCAGCACAACATTAAAAAAAATTGAATGTTGCAAAGCAAACTGCCAGGGAACTCCTAGCACCAAACTACAAGAAGATTCTTGTCCCATAATTGGGATCTGCATATTTGTCGTGATTGTTTTGATTGTTTTGCTGCAAAATACCTCAGCAAAACTACAAAGGATATATTTGACACCTATTGCTGACAGGCTTTTCTACACCATTCACCAAAGTGATGTTTCGTGTGCCTCCTGTTCTATTTGCTACATGAATTATCCATGCATTAACAGAGTTTACAATCACTTTCATTTTGTTACTGTTGCACTCTCAGTTCATGGGTAACTTTGTTTATTAATTCCTTCTCTCCAATTTGCCTGAAGGGGACGCTTTGTTCTGCACCAGCCCTGTCCTGACAAACTGTGTGGTGCCTCTCTGGGGGAGGTCCATGCTGTTAGCTCCATTTCCAGGATGGTCTAGGGAGGGATGAACAGTTGTACCGGGCTACCGGGTTCTATGGAAGGTTCTGCTTAAATCCCAGGGTACAACATATGCCTGAAGGACTTTCCCACACTGGTATCTCTGTCAGAGCTGCTGTTTGAAGGGATGTGGTAAGTCTCTTGTTCAGACTCAGCATCTGTTGCAAAAGATGCATTTACACTGCAGTCAAAAAAGACACAGCCTGAATCTGGTTGCAGAAACAATCTTGGAGCCTTAGGATCCCTCCCCACTCCCCCAAATCGGTTTTGTAGATAAAGTAGTGAAAACAAATGTTGTAGAGGCAGAAAGAATTTATTAATGTTATGGAATTAGTAAGTAAGGTCCCCTGGGAAAATGTTTTTGGAGGTGCTGGGGCCCATCAGTGCTGGTCACTTTTTAAACATCACCTCCTAAAAGCATAGGAGCAGCAATTCCCAAATGTCAGAAGTCAAGCAGGTGAGGCAGAAGGCTGGCTTGGCTGACCAGGGATCTTCTCTTGGAAATAAGGCAAAAAAGGAAGGTGTATGCCTGGTGGAAACAAGGTCAGGTGACGTGGGAAGAATTCAGGGGTGCTGCTTGCTGCTGTAGGGACAAAATTTGTGTGGCCAAAGCTCAAATGGAGTTGCAGCTGGCCAGAAATGTGGGGGACAATAAAAAGTTTTTTCAAATATATTAATGGCAATATGCAGCATAGAAATATCATTGGCCCACTACAGGGTGACGACAGTCACCTCACAAACAGGAACAGAGACAAGGCAGAGATGTTTAATGCTTTTGTTGCCTCTACCTTCAACAGGAATGACAGACCAAGAGGGTCTCAGTGCCCTGAGCTGGAGGACCATGACTGCAAGAATGATCAACTCCCAGTCAACCCTGAAATTGTGCAGGATCTGCTGATCCACTTGGATCCCTACAAATCTATGGGCCCTGACAGAATTCATTCCAGAATACTCAAAGACCTGGCTGATGTCATTGCAAAACCTCTCTCGATTTTTGGGAATCCAGAGAGGTCCTAGCTGACTGGAAGCAGGTGAGTGTTGTCCTGATTTTCAAGAAAGGCAAGAAGCAAGACCCCAGAAACTACAGGCCTGTCAGTCTCACAAAAACAAAAACAAACCCAAAAACCAACAACCCCCCCAAAAAACTACAAACAACCAAAGAAACACCAAACTCAGAAACTGGCAGCTGATAGGAAGAAAAAAAGTCTTTCAGGATGCCTTTCAACAGGAAAGCATATATCAAGGGTTGAAGCAAAAGAGAATAGGAATATTTGGCTGGACTTAAGGTTGGTTCTAATAATGATTCTTCCAAAAGACTACTTAAATTCTCATAGCAAAAAATGTTTGCCAGTCCTTTTCTATGTGAAATTTTATAAATCAAAAGGTAATGAACACTGTAAAAAGTCCTGAAATTATATGGATGAGTTTTCCAGTGAGCATCCCAGAAACTGTAAATGTCATGGACCCTTTAATTTTACCTTGCTAGCATCAGCACAAGACTTCCATGCAGTATTGCCTTCATGGGAACTGCTCCCATACTCAGATATTTGCAGCAGCATTTTGTGTGTGGCAAACTCTTGCAAAATGTAAGGTTTTCTTTTCCCTAGCAGTGCAATATGCAAATACACTCCACTGATGCAAAACTGAGCCCACTTAGTGCAGCTTATCATACTGAAATAGCCTCATCAGTGCAAACACCCAGCATCCTCTTACCCAGGCTGTAATAAGATCTCAATGACATATACACGGGTTTGTAGGATCAGGTTATTATTTGTGTAACATTAAAGTCCTACTCTATCTGGCAGGCAAATGTATGGCACTCTTCATGGCATCTATTTATAAAGAAAACTTGAAGATATAGTGCATCTCTACAGCAGAGCATATAAGCATTAATGGCCTTGACCAGATTCACCTGGAGCCTCCCCAGCACCCCACCCCTGGCCCAGGAGCCCCATTCCAGCTCAGCCCTAGGTTATGTAGTAGGAGTGCTGGTTTCTAGCTCAGCTGCAGCCATACCTGTGCCTGGCCATGAGCCCTGTTTATCCAGACCACAGCCACATGTTAACTTCGCAGCTTGACCTTGACTTTGGCCCTGCCTTATCACCATGGACCTGCCTGCTCATCACAGTACCTAATGCAGATCCTGTCAGGCTTGACCTGGGACCTGCCTCATCACCACGAACTTGCCTGGTAAGTCTGACTTTTGGTTAAACTGGGCCCTAATCTTTAGGTCTGCCCTGCCCTGCTCTCTCACTGCCAGTCCTGCCATACCCCTTGGCTCCTGGGCTGCAGGGAGCAGCTGCTCCCTGACATGGTACTAACATATCATATGTGTGCCCAGGAACAAGAGCATGAAATTAAGGGATGAGTTACAAACTCTAGAAAACTTGTTAATAATGGAATCCATATCTTGGCACCCTTGCCACCATTAAGATGGGCCCCATGAAAGATTTTTTCTAGTGTGTCTCAGACTCTGCTTCAGCAGTATGAAATATAGATCATGAATTAATTAGAAACAATTCAGTTGCATGATCATAAAATTGTTTTTTTTCCCATGAATGGATGTAACTCATCTGTCACTGTCACAGATGCTCAGATTTGTCTCTGAATTAGACTCAGGGCCTCCTGAGTTTCAGATTCTCCCTCATTAGAGATTTTAAAATTTTTGGGGGGAGGTTTAAATCTGTCTACTCATAGGAGATAATAATTCTGCCTTGTTAAATACAGCCATAAGGCTCCCCACATAACAGAGAAGCCTTGTACCTAGAACAGTTGACAGGCTACTTCTGCCCAGCATTGCAGCAGTGGACTAGGGAACATAGAACTACAGGCTGGAGGCAGAAGCCCTGAGGAACCTGCCAGCTCCAGCTCTTACTCAGTTCTTCCCATGGCCCTCAGCTGAGCATGTCACATGCAGCCTCCCTTTTTGCTGAACTTGCAGTGACTGCTGTATTCCCTTGTAATTCTTCATAAGAGGACAGACTTTTGTCCCTGGCAGACACCTGTCTGTCTTGAAGTATGTGCAAGGTATGGAGCGCAGATTTTCTGGACTAGTGCTAAAGAAACCTTTATTGGGGGATTCTGGTAGGTAGTGGTGCTTCTTGATCTGTATGGGGAACAGTTTTATTTCTTCACTGGCTATTGTATCTTTTGATGTTAAAAAAAATGCTGCACTAAGCCTCATCAATTCATAAAGTAGTGTTGAAAAAATGTAAGATGCTGCTGAAATCAACTATTGCTTAAATCCACATGGATCATGCAATGTCTAAAAACTTCTTTCTCCACAACCTGGAGGAGATGAATTTAAAAAGCAAACAAACACACACCCCCTCACACCTGCAGCTCCCCCAAGGTCAACATGTAGTCATTCAACTCAAGCAGTCAGTCCTGCCTGTAAAGAACAACACACTTAATATTGCTGGAATCATGATGGAGATCACGGTGGTGTCAGTTCCAAATAAAGAGAAATAAAGATTCGTGTTCCTGTCCCAAGAGAAGACAATTGGTTTTGAAGGGTTGTCAATCTAGAAATTTCAAACAAAAATGTGTACATGTGCCAGCAAAGTCAGTCTTCTGAATGTATGAATAACCTTCCTCCAGGCTGGATAGTGTAGCATGAAACCTTCTGAATGGCACAACTGAATGTGGTGCTGTTTGTTTGAATCTTTCAGTTAAAAACTATTTTAAAACAGGAAGATAAGTGGCTACAGGTTGCTTAATTGGCTACTAGTAAGGAAAATGGCAATTGCTTACCCAAGATAACCATTTGCAGTAAACACTAATAAAGAAGAAGAACTGATTTAGGACTGTAATTAAGGTTGCAGTGGCTTGAAACACAGTAGAGAAAGACTTAGACTGAACATCAAGAAAAAACACTGGAAAGCTGCAAGGTGTTTATTCTGTGAAATGTTGGGGAGGAATTGAGGGAACCTTCCCCCAAGTCACTTTAAAGTAGCTCACTGAGAGAAGGGCAAAACTGAGTTATACGTTGTTCTGGACCTTTGTTTGCACATCATCTTTAAATTTAAGTTCTAAATGGTGCATTTTAAGGAGTGGTCCTGCTGAAAGAAGTTAAATTTGCCTGGCTTTCCTCATTTGGATCTATGTTCTCTGCTTCCTTTCTATGACCCTATACTTGGAACATTTATGGAACTAAATCATCAACCCAAAACAAGTAACTCCTTTCCTCCTACCTTCTCTCAAAACTTCTGAGAAATTATGAAGAGAATTTTAACTAGATAAAATCCAGGAGATTTCAAATTGAAGAAGGTCTTTCTGTTTAGACAGTTGTTATTGATGTTACTGATTAGAATCACAGTAGTGCTGAGGTGTCTTAGCTGAGACTGGGGGGAAAGGGAAACGTCTCTTTATGCTCTAGAGTAAAAAGACAGCCAAAGGAGGCATTACTGTGTCTGTATGATAGAAGATGAAATTCTGGGAGGTTAAGGGACTGACTTACTGATAGGCAGCCTGTAACAAAAACAGAAAGTTGAGACAAAGCTTCTGGGTGCTTTGTTCCAAACTCTTCCCCTCTGCCAGGGAGCTTTGTTAAGGTAGGTGTCTGAGAAGTTTTGCTGTTATTTGGCCAGTACATTGCTGCCTTTGCACAGTGGAAACTACAGTGCTTGGATCAGATGAGCTTTGTGGCATGAATTGGAGCCAGTTAATGTAGCTGGCTGTGGGTTAATTCTTTATGAAATGAGATTGTTGTTCATGTGTGTCATGCAACTGCACTCAAGAGACCTGATTTTGATTGCTTGCATTACCAGCTGGGAAGTCAGAAGTTTGTAATTTTAGAAGCAAAGGAGAAATGTAATTTCCTGGACTTATATATGATTTTTTAAAAGCAATTTTCCAATGTCTATAGAGTCAACATGTAAACTCAGTGTTAATTCTTTTCTAAGAGGTTAATTGTTACAAGAAGAAAAAAGCAGCATATTGAAGCAGCAATTGAAATTGAGTTCATCACTACATTCAGAACCCCCCTCCCAAGATGAACATCTTGTCTCTAATAATCCTCAGCATTTATACAGACAGGAGCATTTCTGAGCTCCATGTCTGCTTCACCAAGAGACAGGTTAATAATATCTTTCTTATTTCACGAACAAGAAAACTGTAGCAAGGAGCTTTCAGCAAGTCCAGAGTCAGTGCCATGCCTTTAAAACTCAGAAGACCCTGCTGCCCACTATTGTATTCACTCTCTTCACCTGCATGATTTTCCATTAGACTCTTTGTCTCTGATAGTTCCAGATAGCTGTGGATTTGAAGTCAAGAAAAGATGGAGGGGG